GCATCAATGGTGGAAATCTTCCCTGGATTGTACTTGCGCATGAAACGCTCAAGACGGGAGCGGACGTCCTCAGGCATTCTGAAATATATCTTTCGTTAAGACCGATGACAGGGAAAACAGAAATATTCTTCTAAAAAGAGAAAGGCGAGAAAGAGAGAATGGAAAAGAAACAGAGTGAAAGATGTGGGATTATGAAAAGGAAAATCTGTTCTCAGGGGTCATACACACTCTGGAGGGAGGGAAAGAGAAAGGGAAAGAGAGAGAGTGAGGTCAACGCGTGCAACTACGCTATTATGTGCCATACAGCCTCATGTTTCAAACGCACTGTCAGCAGAGATGTCTAACATGGCCTCGAGGAGGTCATTGCTTTCAAAATGATCCCGGTAATGGGCCATCTCATGTCGTGAGACCCAGGCGTGGTCCTTCAGTTTCGGCTCAAAGTCGGTGAACTTTGGGCGTCCCATTAAATATGTCGCTGCGTAGATGAAGAGTCGAGTGTTTTCGGCTGTGTTCAGTACGGTTGCTTGTGGTGCGTTGGACCAGATATAGCAATCTAGCGCGTCGTTGTTGTGCTTGGAAATTGCCCTATCCACTGCCATACGCAGCGTCTCCCGTGACCCCACTGTGGATTTTGGCAGCGTCCATTTACCACTTACCGCATCCTGCACAATAAGGTACAAATAGTCATCCAACTTACGATGAATCGAGTGGCGTGTAGGCGGACCTGCGGCATCAATCTGCTTGGGATCCCATAGGTCTTGTCCCGTCACACGTTTCTCAGGTTTGTAGCGCTGCAGCACCACGCGCATGGCATCCTGGTAGAGCTCGAGACCAAAGAAGTTACTTTGGATCTGGCGCGGATCGGTTCGGTTCATCACGTCAATGGAGAGTCCACGTTGGGCCATGAAATGAGTCGCGGACTCTGAAGATTCGTGTCGAGAGTACCGCTGGTGCTCACGCTCGAGAAGATATCCCATTTCCATCTCGAGTGGGTGCGGTGTGTGTTTCACCACCGGTTGGCGGTGCAGGAGATAAGCGACGAGCACGCGGGTAGTGGTTGTCGCTGCCACATCCTCCCGCAACGGCAGTTGCGGTATGATGGGCGTCCGGTGTTGCGAGTGGAACGAGCGGCCCGCCACAACCGGTGGCAACCTCGCCCGCCGCATCGCTTTGCTAATTGGGATTTATCTAGTAAACAAGGAGGACGGAGTGGATAAAATCCTCATTACACCAGAAGGTGGGAAGAATACACATATACAGAAGAAATCATTTAAATTAGGAAAATAAAAGGAGAAAAAGAAAGAGAGATATACCCAACCAAACACAGAGACACATATGACCCTGTCACCCGGGAGATGGTGCACTTCCACGCCCCTCCAAAGCAGCTAGGCGATCCTCTACATTGCTCAGTCGACGCATAATCGCATTCATTGACACATGTATTTGTGCTTCTAATTGTCCCAACCGGCTTTCCAGTGCTTGGGGGGCATCATTGCTGTGGTTGTTTTCGCTGGAGGGGGTGCGCTCTACTACATCCCTCACAAGGCAGACAACAGCCACATCAATAGTAGACCTCTCCTTCCGGGCGAAAAACTTGAACTTCAGCGTCTGCCCAGCAGATGCGTTGCACTTTGCGTCGTGGAGAAACCAGCCCCCTGTAGAAACGATACCCTCATATGTGCAAATAACGGCATCACCGACGTGTACCTCCACTGTCCGCGCGTTAGACAGAAGAACAAAATGATGTATATGTTGCTGCGGTTGAACCTTTACAGCCACCCATGGTGCGGTCACTGTCGTCAACTGGTTGAGTAATACTGCTGCCGTACTCCCCGACCTGCTCCTTGACGCAGCAACGGTCTCCGCATGGGTGCGCGCGGTGTCTACATCCTTGTGGAATGACACAGACGGAAGCGGCTCACTCCAGCTGCAAGAGACGCTCTCGTCCATTTTTCCTCCCATACTATCCCCGTAGATCAAGAGTTTGAGAACAAAAGATATGAAAGAACAAACAACAGAAGAAAAAAAAAAAAAATAAATAAAAAATAAGAACTAGATAATGAATGTGAAAACTTGTTTGTGCTCCATACCACTATATGTATATATATATTCGTGTTTTAGAGAAAGAAAAAAGAAAAAGAAAAAAAAAGGGTAGATAAGTATCAGAAGTGGAAGGCGTTATCTTGACTGGTCTTTGTGTTCACACCCAGCCCACAGCCACAACCGCAGGGACAGGGACAGTAAAGTCAAAATGGTGCCCTTCTTTTTCTAATGATTTGCACCAAAACGAAAAATAAACAATAAAAAAAGATTGTTTTATGTAGGGAAGAAGAGGGGGGGGGGAGTTGAATTCATCTATTCCCGTTTCTAAATACTTGGTACAGGGGTACTGCACAGACATACACACGCATCATATATAACTCTAATGATCTACCGCCAGGAAAACAAACACAAAGGGTGGGGATTTCTTAATAATAATAATAATAATAATAATAATAATAAATGGGAAACGGGATAAAATGGGTAAGGCAGTGAACCCGTATAGACTCTTTTTTTTTCTTTTTCGTTTTCCTCAGGATCGTATTCATTTGTTTTTTTTTTTTTCTATTCTTCTATTCTTTGCTGGTACGTTTCTCTGCTCTCATCATTCATTCGTCATTGGAGTGGACAGCGTAGTTGTCCTGAGGGCACGGCGCCATCCGGAGTGCGCGCACAAGTCCCCCCTGTAATCTATTCTCAATTTTGTGCCCATACGGGCTTGTATGCAGGAGTGGCCGGACACGGCTTGATATCTCGCGGAACTCCTCCGCGTCATTGGAGGAGTCAATGATTGCCTGTAGCACAAAGTTCCCAAAAGAATCCTGCATAAGACACTTGAGGTTGGCAGAATCTATGACAAGCTCTTCCACCAGGCATCGCCGCGCAGGACCGTAGAGCTGCCACACCACCTTCTCAATAACATTGGAAGCGAACTTATTTCGAGAGAGTGCCACCCAATGCCCGGCAAAGGCGTGGCAAACGACTGAAATAACGGAATCATGATCCATGTGTTGCAAAAGACACTGAACAACATAGTTACCGTAGCAGTTCATCGTGAGGGTTGGCAACACAGGCAGCAGCATCGATATCAATGAATGTTGTTGATGCGGCAGGGTATTCTCAATGGTACGTATGACAGCAATGCACCCCTGTTGAGAGACAGCCAGTCGACGACTGTTTTGGGCGATTATCGCCACAATGGGAGTCAGAGCGTCACTCTTGTGACGCTCAAAAATACTCTGCAAAACTCGTCGAGTGTGCTGCGAGCTGACAGCCAGTTCAAGAACGATCTCAGGTACAAAGTGTGGCACCAGTGCCTCCATCAGCTCTGTTGAGATAGCCTCAACAAGGGCACGCACCACATGACAACCCTGAGGGTCCAGCACCACCCTACCGAACTGAGGAAGAAGCTCATCAAGAATAATCTGTGTCTTGTCCATGTGCTGCAGACGAAGCACTGAGACAAGGAGGTGACGGCCGGGTAAAGTACACGCCGTCGCCGGGATATTTCCCACCACAGCAAGGAGTTGCTCCAAGAGGTTGTTGGCCATCACAAATGCCTCCGTGCTGCTGGCCTCACGCACACAACCATTGCTATAGTTTTGCAGCGAGCCTTCATAACTAGTATCATGGGAGGAGTTTATCAGTCCAGAAGTATTGGTTGAGCTGCAAGACGGAGTCACTGAGCGCGATGCATAGGGGTTATGCGTGTAACGACGGCTGTTGCTCCTGGTCCCTGCCCCGCCACTCTGCTTGTTATGGCTTTCATTGCTGTTTGCATCTGTCACGGTCTGCCACGGACCTGTCAGTGTTGCAGCAGGTGTCTGCTGTATGCCGTACGAACCACCGGAGGTCACGCGGTTGTTTGGATCATTTGACGAAGACATGACCATCATTGTGTAGTAATCGGACCCGCGAGACATGGACTGGACTGCAATGAGAAAGTGAAAAAGCAAAAAAAAAAAAAAACAGAGAACAGAAGAAAGTTGAGTACAAGAACAACAACAACAACATTTTTAAAAAGCGAGCAGGAGTAAATAGAAAAGGAAAGGTGGGCGTTGGGTGAGAAAATACAAAAAAGGAATCAAACAACAAAAAAAAAAAAAGAAAAAAAGAAAAAAAGTAAAATAAAAAAACAACAGACACACATATGAAGCAACCTGGAAACACTGCGCCACAGAGGAAGATGAACGGCATATGTGGTTGCGTGTCTGTGAGAAGGACCAGTGACTTGTGTACATTTCTTCTCAACATTGTGGTGACATACACCACTTTCTCTTTCCCTCTTTCTTTCTTTCTTCTTTTTAGCGTCTTACTAAAGTGGCACCAAAAAGCGCCCGTGGCCCTTGCGCCCCCCACCCCCTCGACGCATCTCCTGACCCCGCATACTGGTGCCGTCGTAGGTGTTGTAAGTCTTGTAAGTACTGGTGTCACCGCGCCTTGGGAGATGCGGTGGTGGTCCGTGCAGAACGCTCACGGCGCTAAGAAGGTCGAGCGGGTCTGATGGTACAGCGATCTCTCCGCGTGTGCGACCGTTACGGTCAAGTGCCTCGATGTGCAAGAGAGCGCGTGTGCGTGTGTCATCATCTAAACGGGCGGCAATGGCGGTGGCAAGTGCCTTCCAGCGGGCCCGCTCTACGCCAATGTTCTCGTGGAACTCCCGCAAACGACGGCACTCGTCCTCTGCTACACGGGCCCGCGCTGCGGCGGCGTGTAGAAGCGATCGGGTTGATGTTGCTGCTGCGTCGAGCCGCCGGCACTCCGCACGTGTCTCCGCAAGACCCGCCGCTGCCGCGTCACGCTCCCGAGTCAGCCTCGCCACCTCTGCAGCAGCTGCTGCAGCCGCAGCAGTAGCAGCACTAGTAGTATCGTTGTTATTATTAGTAGTAATAGTAGTAGAAGTGGTAGTACTAGCAGTACTAGCAGTAGTAGTAGAGGTGGCAGTGGGATTAGTAGTGGGAGATTTTGTAGCAGTGGGCGGTGAACGGGCGGCCGCCTCGAGTGTTGCCACTCGAGCTTTCAACTCCGCTATAATCTGACGCATTGCCTCAATGATACGCTGTTGCTCAGCTATTGTCCGCAGGGAAAGCTCAGTGTCTGCAGCAGGTGATGGCCCCGCATGGCTCATTGCCTTCTAATGGTATTCCTTACACAAATCTTCTAGTGAAAAAAGGAGAAGGCGAGGACAGAAAGAAAGAATGAATGAAACGATGCTCCACAGAAAAACATAAGCAGGGAATATGTATATAGACCTACATGCAGAAGGAAGGAAAATGAAGAAAGAAAGAAAAAAAAAAAAAAGAAGAGGGGAGAGGAATGTAGTCCGGACGCAGCAACACTCTCACTGACACGTGGAAATTAGAAATGACATGGTCTCGAAGGAGACCCGCCTAACGGCATCGCAGAAAGCCGCAATATCTACGAGTGTGTCGACTCCACGCTTCTTCTCGAGTCGACGCATTTCCTCTGGGTACTGCAACTTTGTCCTCAACGTCGACTCCTGTGAAGTGCTCCCAGAGTATTGGTTTGCGATGATCTCGATAGACGGCAGTGTCCAGCCGTCGCGATAACGCATTACAATAGAAAAACCAAACTGTGTCACATCGTCCACGACGCAAAAAACAGCCAAACGTACCAACGAGGGGTCACTCTCGAGAACCACACTACTGTTGCCACTATTCCTCCTCTTACTCTCGTTAATATCGCCAGTGCTTTCACCATCCCTCAAGGAGACACTGACACTGACGGGACTACCAAAGAATGAGGACATCTTGCTCACCATATCTAGAAAGTGTTTCAGTTCATTAATTGAATGTTTCAGTACCGTCTCGAACTGTTGAATGTAGTCCATAAAGGTACCTCTTTGTTGCAGCGTAGCTGAATACTGCGGTAGTCCCCCAAAGTTTATGCAGCTGCGTATAAAGGGCGTGAAATCCGCCTTGTGCAGGGATTCGATATCCTCTACGTGCATAACAATGTGCTCTGACAGGACCTCAAAGGCCGCATCTCCTCCAGTGGTCTCGCAGGCGATAATAAGCGACAACTCCAGACTTGAAAAGTGTGGAACGGCATCGAGACGTTGATTTAAAATCTTGGCGTAACACTCGATGATGTTTGACAACGTCTGGCGAGTGGACACCTCGTCCTTCAACTGCAGCGGGATGTTCAGTGTTATGTGAGCACCGGATCCCGTCGGCTGTACGAAACCCTCCACGCGGCGTCCACCGTCGGCACCAATGTTACTTAGGAATGCCTCATACTCAAAGGCCAGCAAGTTATTATACACACGCAGCACATTTGACAGCTCGCTCGTACACTTCTTGGTGTAGCAACGCTCGATCCAGTGAACAAGAGCACCCACACGGCTGGAAACATCATCATTTCGGCGAAACTGTGGCCGTGTAGAGTCGTCTAGCCAAGTGTAATCGCCAAGACGATCCCGCTCACTGGCAGCAACGTCACACAGCACAAAATCCAGATCAGCGGTCCCGTTTACTTCAAAAACCCACAGATCAAGAACGTGGCGGCCAAGCACCCTTACAGGAATAGCACTGCCAGACATCGTATATATATATATATATATATGCCGTTAGATATATTTTGCTCTATTCTGCAATTGCGTACAGTAAAGTTCTTCAAGAAAAAAGAAAAGAAAAGACGAATAAAAGAAGAGATATATCCCTATGTTAATTGCATTTTTTTTTTTTTAATCCCATTATTGCAGCTCCTCACACCCAACTCACCGGGCACCAACACCTCTCTCTCTCTCTCTCTCTCTTTGTTTCCTCTTTATCTCCCTCTCTCTATTTCTCCTTACTTGTCACTCCTTCACTCCATTTCCTGCACAAGTTCTCTGCTTTCTTATATCAAGAGACGCACACACACTGCGTATCTGTACTCTCTCTCTCTCTCGTTCTACAGCACGCCGAGCAAACCCGTCCGCGATAAGTCCATAACGCCCCATATACCTCCGTATGATGCGTTGTGGTAAGTGCGCACAATGGCTGCAAATATCAGCAGTGCTTCAAATAGAGAAACGATACCCTTGTGTGTTGCATACGTCTTATCAACAGGTCCGCTACGGTAACGCACATAGAAGTAAGGTTCACCTGTGTCCCCGACAAAAAGTGCCAGGTCCTGCTGCTGGTTCATCGGCTGGTGTGGAAATTTCACATAGTTGGCAAACCCATCAACACAAACGCGTACAATGTGAATCAGTAGATGTGCATCAGTTGGGAATTCGTCACGCCAGGTATCCACATCACCACGGCTGTGTTTGTATGATGTCAACGTCTTTTGTGACGCAAAAGTGCGAATTCGTTTAATGATGTACTGTCGTCGTGCCTGCAACTCCGCTACGGAGAGTGATGACGTGAGCGGGAATGTGCTGCCGAGGTCCAGTTTCGCCTCGAGTGCCAATCGCTGGTTGAGATGGGAGATGGTGTCGAAGTTCTGCACATTCTGTGCCTGTCCAGTAAGTTTTTTTCTTTCATTTACAAGGGCATCCAACTTGCGCAGTGTCGTTGTTGCCGCCGTCAGGTTAGGGTTCGTGGCGGGTAGAGCAAAACTCACGCCAGGAGCAGGTGGCGTCTGCGGCACAGGTATTGTCTCCTGCAGACTGTGCCTGCTGTCAAAGGAGCTGATGCGATGTTCCGCAAACCAGCGATCGCATGCAGCAATTTCATCCGCAAGGTCTTGACAGACATCGGAGAGCCACTTGCGTACTTTAAGCAGTGAGCGCTCAGCGTTGAGAATCCCAAGACCAGCCCACTCTGTGTCAACGGGTTGGGAAGCGGGTCGCTGATCTACACCACTACTATACTGCACGCGAATCCCATCCGATGGGCCCGTCGGAATCCCACCGCCAACCAACGGAGCACTGAATCCAGCAGCAGTAAATGCACTTCCCGTAGGTGCTGAAGCTGTCACAGTTAACTCGGCCTCTTTATCACCCTCTAACTTTTTAGACATGAGGAATTCATCCAGTTCCGCTTCTGAACGGATGGGATGTTGTTGTCGCTGCTCCTGCCGCTGTTCTTGTGCCTCGACGACGGCAGAAGTGATTGGTGCCGGTATTCTTGGAAGACCCCCTAACACTGTCGCTGCGGGAACAGCAATAGAAGAAAACGGTGCCGACCACCCCTTCGTTCGCGGCAAGCCATTCACACCCACATGGGCATCACGCCGAGGTTGCAGCGTCTGACGCTTACCTTTCTTGAATGTCAAGAGCACTAGAAGAAACATCGAACCCAGAAATATCCAACGGAGGATGACACAGAGACTCTCCATAGCATCATCCTCGACGACTTCGACAAGCACATCGTCAACCCACGCGTGGGTGACTGATTTGGGGTACATCGACGCTGCAATACGAGTTACAACATACATCACCGCACTGGTTGCGGCAAGAACCTTGAGGTGGAAGCGCTTCGCGCCCCTACCATATACCTTCGCGCGTCGCTGTCGATCGAGTTCGATCAGCTGATCGCCATACGAGAGGCGCATCTATCTACAGACGTATTCTTTCTACTATCAAAGCTAATGCATTCACAGAGAAGAACATAGAAAAGATAAAAACCCAAGATAAGAAAGCGGTTGTGTACAAGGAAAAAAAAAGGGGAGAGTGGAAATAAAGACAACTTCTTGTTGAACCAATAGATGCAAAATCAATAGGGTTTGTGAAACAATATCGATTATAAGTTTGTACTATCCCATTTTCCTATCCCCACGCATACATCTCACTCTCCTCACTCCCTCACACGCACACGCACAGATCTATACATCTATTTATGCGAAAAAAAAGAGAGAAAGAGAGAAACATGCACCACTTGCTGGCCACCCTATAGCACCCCGCATTCAGCAATCTTTATTATCTTACTTGGTTTATCGTTGCGACCCGTCCTTGTGTTCTCCACCTTCTTCACTACATCCATGCCTTCCACCACCTTTCCAAAGACGACGTGACGACCGTCAAGCCACGGTGTAGGTGCAGTCGTGATGAAGAACTGAGAGCCATTGGTGTTGGGCCCGGCGTTCGCCATTGAGAGGGCGCCGACGAAGTGCTTGATATTAAAGTTCTCATCCTCAAAGCGTGCACCGTAGATGGACCTTCCACCCGTTCCATCAAAGTTCGTGAAATCACCACCTTGGATCATGAAGTTCCGGATCACGCGGTGGAAGATGGATCCCTTGTAACCAAACCCGTTTTCGCCACTCGCCAGTTGCTTGAAGTTCTGCACCGTTTTGGGCACGTCGTTTCCAAAGAGCCCAATCACAATGCGACCGAGTGGTTCGTCGCCAATGGTGATATCGAAGTATACCTTGTCCGTCACCACCGGCTCCGCCGCCTGCACAGCTCCTGTTTGAACGAGCCCCAAGGCCAACAGAAGCAGTGTCAAGAAAAATAAATCCCGCATTAAAAAAAGAAACAGAAGTAAAGCTATCTTAGTTTTTCTGCAATAAAACAAAGAAGAAATATAATTCATTACCGTTCAACGGCGTTGTCGCTCACAATTCATGTAGAAAAGCAAATAAAAATAAAAAATCAAAGGTGGCTTCACCGCCTTTTTCCGAATGAACAACAACAACAACAAAAAAAAAAAAACAGCCCCCACACATGCAGGGAAAAAAATGGACAAAATACCATCTGGAATGTACATAGGTGTATGAGTTATGGAAAAACAGCACAGAGAAATGGAGAAAGACAAGAAGAAGAACGAGAAGAACGCAAAAGAATTAAAAAAAACAATACTCCATTACAAATGATCATTTTTTCCGCGACTTGGTGGTCTCACGCTGTAAACGTTCCCGCACCGCCATCAGAATAATGCCGAGAATATTCTTGCCCGTCCCGTCCCCTCGATCCCCCCAGAAGTCATCTGTCGCCGTATGATCGACAATAAGTCTGTCACCAGTTTCTAATAGCAGATTTCGTGCGGCATCATTCTGCTTGAATTTCATGTAGTTTCCAAGAAGCATGACATCTACTTTTACTCTGTTCCAATCTTCACGCTGAAAGGCATTCTTCTCAGCCTCTCTCACAAGGCGATCCAGTTCCCACACTGATGTCGCTGACTGGATAGCCGGCGCGAGAGGGGAGTCAGAGAAACGTTCGCTGAGAAAGTAATGATGCAGCGACGGGTACTGCTTGTGTCTCACAACTATTGGATGCGGCGATAGCGGACTGAAAACCCCATAAGGGACCTCGTGTACATCATGGAACCGCACGACACCCTTGTTCATTGTTTGTCTCTCCCCTTTCCCTTACGTCGTGTCCCTTCTTTACTTTGTCACTTACTCACACGCACAGAGTTTTGTTCTCGCAGAAACACAGACAGAAAAAAAAAAAGAGTGAGAGAGAGAGATACTCTTCGCCTCTTCTTATTCTCTTCGTACTAATCTTGCGCTCACAACTGCACTCGACTTTAGTATGCAGACATGAACACCGAAAGAAACAAAAATGGAGGTTTTTTTTTTTTCCAATAATAAAAAAAAAGCAAAAAGAAAAAAGAAAAGAAAGGCAAGAGAAATTCTTTAAAAGGAAGATGCTGAAAAGCGTATCGGCATTAACATAAGAGTTCAAAGAAAAAAGCAGACACCCCAGAGGTATCACCAGAGCGATGGGAAGATACCTTTTTCGTACATTTCACATCGCAGAAAAAATTCTCCCTTGACTACTGTTCTTGTTCTTTTCCTTTGTTTGATTCCCCTAAAACATGCTTTGCGCTTCTCATTCGTTCACTCACTCGTTCATCCATTCATTCATTCATCTGTTCACCTACGCATACTCTCAGTCCTTGCGAAGCTCAAATAATTCAGTCCTCACTCCCTCCGACGTGATGATATAAAAACGCACAGCGTCCCCGGTGAAGATATCCCGTTCTGCCGCACCTGTGAAGGCGTTTTTAAGCATCTCGAGTACTTCCGTCAAGCTTAGGTCCGCTGGGGCCTGTTGCACCATATGTTGCCGTGTAAGCAGACAGTCCATAAGCGGCTCCACAAAGCTGCTGGCAGAACCACAAGTGCCATAGCGAAAAGGTTCCGTGGAGCCGACGGGATCATAGCTGTAGCAGACGCCTTCACCCTTCTCATTGAGGCCGACGATCATGTTGAACGTATAATATGGGAAAAAACGACGCTGGTACAACATTGTAGAAGTAAGCTTCGCAATAGCCTTTATGGATGGGACCTTTCCACCATTGTTGTACTGATACCACTGGATCCGATACTTTAGCATCTGCTGCAGTTGAAGTCGGTCTGCCTGCATGCCCGTTGATGCAAGAAAAACACGATCAGTCAGTTGAAAGAGTTTTGAGGGGTCATTCCGGGTGTGGATGCAAAAATCACCATTCAGCCTTGTGTCACCCCCAAGAATAACATAATTGCTTCCGGCAATGGCTGCAATTGTCCCGCCATTGTCGGCGTACGGGGACCATTGGTGTTCCTTTGCCCCCTGTCGAGGAAGCGTCAATACGGAGCTTGCCAATTTCTTGGGGTAGTAGTGCCCGTACTCCGCGTGGTCCTCAATCATTTGCAATGTGTTTTTTTTTTTTTTTTGCTTTTTGTTTTTTGCTTGGGAGGCTTGTATCTACCTGCTTCTGAAGAGTAATAGAAAAAAACAGACAATGTGTAAGAGAAAAAGAGAAAAAAAGAAAGTGTGTCTGTGTGTCAGCAAAAAGAGAGTTGTAACGAAATACATACCCATATGAAATAAAGGTCTTCAGTCTTTAACCGTATTTTTTTTTTTTATGTACCCATGTCAGATGAAGAACAAAACAAGAACAACAAAAAGGTATCATACACGACCGCCACTATTAAACCTCTCCTGCATTTCGTACTCCTTGATCGCTACGCGCTGTCGGTAGTGCTCCCTCGCAGCTTCACACGCAGGACACGTGTCACCGCGCGCGAAGATGCGTTGCATTTGTTGGTATCCCTCAAATAGCAACAAACCAGCAAAGGTGGAAGCTGTCATAAACCACATACTGTAGTTTTGCGATCCTTCACTAAATCCAAAGTCACGTGTATTGAAGATTTCCCAGGGTCTCTCGCGTGGACGACGTGCCTTTGGGAGACGCATCATTAACAACCTCGTCGTCCGCATTACTTTCGTCTAACGAAAAAATACACGACTCGTTATGACACACAAATATTCACTCACACAGACCCACACCTTTAGAATAGAGATGGACAAGAAAAAGAAGAGAAGGGCAAAAACGATGAGAAAAGCAAAGGCAAAAAAAAAAAAGAAACTCTAGTTGGTGTGGCAAATTATTTTTCATTAAAAAAAAAAAATACAAAACAAGAAAAAAGGACCCCAAGAAACAATGCGCCGCATCAACGTTGGTGGGAAGTCAAGCTTCGTTGTAGAACGGTAACGAGTGCATAAAGAAAGTCCTCTGCATATCGTTTGCCGCTAATCGTTCGCATGCTGCACGAACGGCTCCACCTGTGTCCCGTCGTTCAAATACCATTAGTGTGCATTCTTCGTAGGCAAAAGGGGTGAAGAGTGGGCTGTAGCCCATTTCCTCTGAAATTCTCGAGGGAGGCTGCGAGGGTCTCTTGGGATTGAAAAACAGAACACTGCGCAGTGGGTCGTTGCGCCCCTTTCCTTGGTTAATCACCACAAGATCTACAATGAAGTCTGCCGTGGTGACAGGCTGGGAGGGGCTTGCGCATGCTACAATATTATCAGAGAGACTTGCCAGCCACTCTGGTGGAAGTGTCACGTCGGGACGCAGAGTTCGCGAGAAGGCAAGGCGGTAAATGTCACGTGCGCGTAGACGGGCAATGAGGTCCCGCGCCGGCCGCAGTTTCTCCTCCGCACTGCTCTCAATCGCTTCTAACACCCAGTCACCAAGCTTCAGCATTAACTCATCATTGGCGGCACACTCGGGGAGTGTATGGCCGCCCACCTTGAAGTATGGCACGGCCATGTGAAAAACGTCCCCAATCATGTGTCCAATCGCTTTTACAACATGATGTTGGTAGACATTCTTATGTAATTTTGCGCGAAGCGTGAAGAGTTCACGCAGGGAATGTGCAAGCTTCTCCTCAAAGGAAAGTTGCCATTGACCACCGTCACAAACCAAACGTGCAGAGTTAAAGAGGCGATTGATGCGTACATCCACTGTCGGTTTTCCAAAACAGCACAGCGAGTCACGAATAAAGTAGTCCAGTCTATCCACATCAATCCCATTCCTCTTGTTACTGATAATTTCGCCGTACTTCGTCACAGGAAGACAATTCCCACGCATAAGACCAATGATGTCTTCAACATCATCAGAAGGAAGCAACCGCCCCAACACACGCCTAGAGATGCGCTCTGACATTTCTTCATGGTTGAACACAACACCACAACGCATAGTGATGACATCCTCAAAAAGGTGTGAAAACGGCCCGTGTCCAATGTCATGGTAAAGACCAGCAAGCATCGCCTTGTTTATATCATCATCGGTTATGCCCAAGTCTGGTTGACGACGTTTTATATTCAGGAGAAGGTGTCGTGCCATGTGCGCCACACCAATACTATGCTCAAAACGGGTGTGAACAGCCCCAGGGTACAGGAACGACGATACCCCAAGCTGTTTCAGCGAACGAAGTCTCTGAAACGCCGCCGTATCGAGCGCCTGCAGAACGATAGGGGGCAACACTACGTGCTCATACACACGATCCAGTAAAGTTGTTTCGCGCAGCCGTCTTCGGCTCATTCTAAATATTATATATATATATATATATATCACTACCAAGAAAAAAAAGAGAAGCAAAAAAACATTTATATATATTTATATATACATATATCACCATCTGGATGGAGGGCTTTGGCCTTTTCCATTTCACATGAAAGAAGATGTGTGAAATAATAAAGACACACAGACACATAAGAGAGAGCTATTGGCTTCACACGCATTCACCTTAAACCGACCACCCTTCACAACATCGTCTCGTTAGAATTTGTGATAGATAGACAAGCACACACACACATAGACACACACACAAACACAGAATTCTCTCATTTCCCGTCGAGCACCATATCTGGTATGAAATCACGGATGGGATACTCCCGTTTGCACTGAGAGCAGACAAGTCTCCCTTGTCGCACAGCCACCTCCTGTATGACGTAGTGGATCGCTTTCAGGTCCTCAGAGTCGTCAGAGAGGTCGACATCCTCCAATCTTTCTGGAAGAGGATTAGCTGTCTCCAACAATTGCTCCTGCTGAGTCTTTAGTGCATTGAAGGCTTCAAGAAGAAATGTGTAGTCCATGCGGGCGAGCATCAGACGAACAAATGTGGAGTCGAACTCGCAAGGCAGAATTTCCATTTGTACGTCATGTAGCTCTAATGGGAAACCCTGACATTCAAGACAGCAAAGAAAGTTGTGTGTAACCAATCGCATCTGTTTACCCTCAGAAACTCTGGTCGCTTACTTCGCTTCACACAAAAAAAACACATTAAAAAAAAAGTTGAAATAGAAAAAAAATTATATATATATATATTTATTTATTTATATTTATATAAGAGGACAGCCAGATAATACAATAGGTTAATATAGAATAAAAAGGGAAACCAAGAGTGGTGCTCTTTTAGCAATCAAAAAAGACATCACAAACCAAACAATTTGTTTTTCTTAGACACTACGTGGAATCCAAGACCAGAGGGAAGCACTGCTGGTTTTTCTAACGGCAGCGGACGTTGTCGGGCCACAAGACCAGATGAACTGGGTAACTGATCGAGAATGTCCAACGCAGTGAGACGTGGCGCAGGTTCGCTGTTACAAGACCCTCGTGATATACTTTCAGGTTTCGAAAGTTGCTGCACTCTGTTTTGTTCCCCGGATGAAAGAGCTCTCACAGGTGATGCATCTGTAGGCAATGGAAGCACCGACGTTTTCAGTTGTGGTCGGTTGTTCTTTTGCAGCATATTCAAGTCCACAGATCCTGATTCTGGTAGATCTAAAGCGCGCCGCAATAGTGCGTTCTCCGCCTGGAGCCTACGAATCTCCGTTTTCAAGTTATAGAGCTCCTGCTGTGTTGCGTCAACACGTTCTACAGGTTGAGATCTAATATTTCGCGTGCGCTGAGCAAAATTAATCGTGCGCATTGATTCCTCTACAAATCTTGAAGAGGGAGTTACGCACGCCACCAAGAGTGTGCGACAGCCCCCATCAAGACTATCCATCAGCAGCTGTGTCAGCACACTCGAGCGGTAGGGAATGTGATTTCTTTGGTTTGGTGATCGAGCCTTGGATAACTTCTCAATGACATTTCCCAGGGCAAAAAGAGAGCGGTTGATAGACTTACTGTCATCCCCTTGATTGCCTGTATCTCGCAACCGCTCTGATCCAGCGAGATCAACGAAAGTTATTTTCCCGTGACGAGCTGGATGATCACCTTCTACTACCTCTATATATGTAGTAAAAAGTACATGTGAGCGACTACTATCAGCATTCAGGAGGTGTTCAGCCCGTTTTCGCCTCATTTGTCCTTCTCGGAGAACTAAAAGAAGGTCATCTATATTTAAGCATTCTACAACCATGAGATCTTCAACAAAAAAACTATTGGCATCCCTAGACCAACGACACTTAAGTCCTTCATTGCCGCTCAGTAGGTCATTTATGCGTTCGTTAAATAACTCCATGTACGAAGCTCTTAGTTTGACAGTTTTCGATGCATTCTTATTCATATTCATGAGTTGATCACGCAACTCAACAATATAACGCACAGCAGCGAACTGAATGCCATCCTCTGTCACAATACCGTTCTCCTCCTCCGCGCGGCCGCTCATGGTGTAAGTCTTACCACTACCAGTTTGACCAAAACACATGACTGTAGCAGCTCTTCCTTCAAATGCAGCATTACACATGTCTGCAATGGCTGCTGAGCGAAAAACTCCCTTCTGGTCTACTTCTGGACCCAGACAACAATCCATATCAAAATGGTATACCTGATTCTGAGTGCTGCGGCTCAAATGAGTGATAATGCGTACCCTTGTCCCCCCTGGAAGAACAGTTATACTCTCCTTTTCGCCTCTTTCTCTCTCAGCTGGAAGAAGAGGCCTCACGCGCAGCACAACACCCATCTGCTCCATAGCGTTACTATCTGCTATAATAACACCCCTTGTACAAAATATAACGCACTCTTAGGCACGGAGATAGGGCGCTGTCTCACATGTATAGGTGATAGGAGATAATGAATAGAAGACAAGGGAGTGAAACACCAAAAAAAAAAGGAGTCTTATACAAGAACATCTAAAGAAGAATAGAAAAATCACACAAAACATAGAGTACAATAATGAGTATGAGTTCTTTTTATTAACTAAGAGGTGTGTTTCCTCTTTTTTTTTTTCATTCAATCTCTCTAAAAGCAAACTTCAAGTATTACCTACCAAATTTCAGTAATGTCAACTCTGTTTTTTTTTTTCTCCATAGTTTTGGAAATACATCCGTACATTTTACCTCCTCCATAATAAAAGATTCATACAAGCCTCATAAAATCCTAATGCTTTCTTCCTCTCATTGATTTTATCTCTGTCAGAACTGTGAGCACGCCACTACCACTTTTACTGATGCTCCTTTGATCAAAAAATAATATTCACCAATAATATAAAAAGGAGACAGTGTATATATAACCAATGCAGTAACTCTTAACAAGTTCTTCCCACAACTTGTCACCCTCAACTCACTTATAACTGCCACGATTTCCAGAGATCCTTCACCAGTCCAGAGTCAATAAATCTCTCAGAAACCACATTGGTCCACAAAATCGCCCATCATGAAACCCCATTCATTACCTTAATCGATGATGTCATTTCAGCAGTTTAAACCAGGCCTCGTCTTGAGGGCAATAAGAGGCAGACGCAGAGAGAGAGAGAAAGAGAGAAAAGTAGGGACGAAAAAAAAAGCTTATTGAAACACCTCAAGTATTCACCATACACCTAATGAATAAAACTTCAAAGCACTACATAAGAAGTCCGCCTTATTTGTATTCCATTGACATCATGCCTTGAAAACCACGACCCTTATTAAGTAGAGAACAAGAGAAATGAAATGAATGCTTCATATTAAGAAGAAACTCGAGAAACATACGATAAAAAAAAAAAACGACCCTTTCATAGAGAAAAAGGGAGTTTTTTTTTTTTTTTACTTTTCGCATTTTATTTCTCCAGAAAAGAAACGAAACAGAAGACATCTGAAGAACACTCCCGAGACAAATTCACTCATTCACCAGAGAGAAAACAGTCATTATATTTTTTTTTTTTTTTTTCTATCTGGTGGTAAGGCAAGTTTACGTATATCTTCAAAAAAAAAAAAAACATTCGGACTCTATATACATCAGAAAAAAGCCATAATCTCTTCTTTTTACTCCCGGCATCACCTATGAGAGAGACTCAACACCCAGTAATTTCTCAAGAGCAGTAATGCGCTGTAAAATACGTTTTTGTCGTTGAGAGAGGTCAAATTCCATGCTTTCATATGTGTTCTCTACTGCTTTCTTTGTACCTTCGTTATCTATTAGGATCTGCATGGCTTTCTCGGTTTCTTTAGTTTTTCGCCATAATTCTTCTTTAGAGATAACCTCTTTACATTCATCTACTAAGGTAGTTAATTCAGCATTTCTTTGTTCACGAAGTTGTTGCAGTGATATCTGAGATGCATCATCTGCTGACTTGTCCTTTGACAGTGCAAATCGCAATGGAGGAGCAGGAGTGGGAAGCTCCAAAAAAAAACGGAGTTCTCTTGGAGTTCCATTCTCTCGCGAGTAGTTAGCTACATAAAAATATAAAGACGCATGTTGAATTATTCCATGAAGAAGATAGGTACAAAGAGAACCAATGTCTTCCTTCGTCAAATATATGCATTCCCGTGGAAGCGCAGCTGCATTATCGACTTCTTCTACAGCTACTTTCTCTATCACTCGAGTACCTTTCTTGTTTGAAGCTTTAGAAGAGATCTGAGACTCCACTGCAGCCTCATCTAGAGCTGCCGCTTGTTTCGACTTCCACTTCCACCCCTCTTCAATTTCAGATGCTGCAAACTCTATCAATTCGTTTCTCATCTTATCAACACTGCAATCATTTTCAACTATCTGCTGAAAATCAGTCATCCATTTCATTAAATGAATTATTTTAGATGGAAAAAAGTTTTGGTTTGCACAAAAGCGAAGGAAATCAAGTCTAAAATCCACAATAATCTGATGCTTCAAGTCAATATGATAGCTCTCAGCTCCCAAAGTCATGGCAATCAGTGTCGTAAGAGACACATCATCATTATCTGCAATAAGTTGAAGTAATTGTTCAATAAATTTCTCATCCTGGAACGAAGGTGATTGACCTGAAAGATCCTTCACAAGACCCTCTACCTTACCACGTGAGCGCATCTACCTTTTTGTTTACAAAAGAGAAGGCAAGGGGGGAAATACATATAATAAAGTATAAAAGAACTTGCAGCAAAATACATATACACGCGGTACCCACGTAGTAACTTTCCAGAAAATCAAAACATCATATTATTAATGGTGCTAAGAAGATACACCCCCTAAAAACTCATCATCAAAAGCAAATCTAGAAAAAACAAGGTATTTTTTTTTTTTTTTCAAGTATACATGTGCCCATAAACACTCATTTCCAGGATCTAATCTTTCCTCCTTTGGAAATCTTATAAACTCGTAAATAGATCTAAAAATGTTAATAATCTAAGAAGTCAAACAAAGGTATATTGCAGCCTTCATCCGGTTTGCATCAACCAATTTCTCAAAACCAAATATAATCTGAGAAGGTCTTGTTGATGTGCTCACCACCACCAAAAAAGGAGTCAGTTCTTCCGCCGTGGCACTCAAAACCTTTGTCTCCTTTACAGAGGATAAAAGAACACGCATCTGCTGAAAATCACCGTTAGGTGTTTTTTGAAACCATTTAATAATATCATGCCTCGGATCAACATCAACAAGTGAGTGAAGGGTGGTTTTAAATGTTCCAATCATTGACCACTGTGGTTGAAAACACTGACGCCGTAACATTTTCCTAGACTCGACAAATGCGCCATCAAATAGATCATGACTCAGTGATATACCAGCAAGTCCTTTGAAACTGGAGAAAGAATTATCTAAAACATCTTCAACCTTTGTGTCAAAGAAATTCTCATTACGATATCTTTTGATTTCTGCCGAACATTTACATGAAACATCAGGAGCACAACGCTTGTATTGACCCGAAATTTCAATCGTCTGCGCTCTTGATTGCTTCTCGGTATTCAAAGATTCTTGTACACATTTTCTTTTTCTTGACCGCCGTAACACGACCAAAGACTCAATAGAGCTGTTTCGCGACACAACTGGTGTGTCGTAAGAAGCAAGTGACGCGGAAGAAGCCAAAGAAAGAGATCTCTTCTTCAACCGTGGTACCATTTTCCTTCTTCAACTATCCCTGGTCTATTTATCACCACAGTGTAATGGCGAAAGAAGTGAAAAAAAAAACGCACAGAAAAAAAAAAGATGTTAAAACAAAGTATAAGAAAAAACAAATAAACACCAAAAGTGTAAAAAAAAAAACAGAAACAGAAGTACCTTTGAAAAATACAGGAATGAAAATCGGTGGCAAATAAAGAGAAAATATAAAGACAAGGAAAGCGCCTCTAGATAAACAGAAAAATTCAAGAGACAAGAAGTATGATAAGCCCACGAAATAGTAAAGAACACGATACAAGAAACCAGAATATGCGCTTCGATTAGGACGTGCTATCCTAAAACCATAAATGATAGAGACATCAGTAGAAGATACGGGTTTTCTTCATTATGTCCCAAAACTTACTACAAGTCATATTTATTCAAAGCTCAAAAAAGAACAAAGAACACCATCAAAACAATACATGATATCCAGGAGAATCGGTCACCTATTAAACAGCAGCATTTCTGGCTTCGTAAAAAGAGCTGTCTTTCGAAGCTGGGCGCGCATGCGGTAACTGCGTAAACTCAAAGTGCCAGCACCTTTCTTCGCAAAACTGGAACAACGGGAATCGAACCTTACCACAAACAGGATTAAAAAAAACTGGATTTACCAAGCACTAAGAGGACAGAAGATCGACAATAAACGAACTGCAACGATATTCGATTCCATAAACCTCAATGTAACAGGTGATTTACTACACTTCGCCAGACTGACCACAACCTAAATCCCAAGTTTCGAAAACAAAAAAAGAACAAATCGCAGCGCCACGTAATCATACAAACGACCTCAGACAACCACCCACACAACAACAGGCAATCCAATATCACAAAAGGAAATTCTTCAAAAAGCTGCACCACACACACATCAAGAAAAAACACCCGAACATCGAAAAAAAAAAAAAAACCTTCCCGCGCACCTGAAGCGCGCCAGGGGGCGGGAGAAGCGGGCGAACGCCGAGAAGGAGAAAAATAAAAGCGCAACGCGAGAAAAAAGAAAAAAAAAGACCCAGTTTGGCCGACGAACCACCGGCGCGACCGCGCCCTAAACCCCGCAACCGCGCCCGCCACCGCGCCCCATCATTCCGCTCGCTTCCGCCCGAGCCGCCGGCCCCCCACCCGCCCAGGGGATGCCCAAACTGGGCTGGCACGCCAAAAGCACCAACCGCGGCCAAAAGAAAAAGCGACGATCCCCTGCCACCCGTTTTCCCGGGGGGCGCCCGCCCCACCCCAAGATGGTGACAAAAAAGAAAACATTGAAGAGGGTACGGCACCCCGGGTTCCAGCACTGTAAGTGGTCGCCGTACTAACGAGACCTGTGNAGATGTATCTTTCGTCACGATACAATATTGGTTCTGTTACGATGTGTGCTAATATCCAAAAAACCGATTTTTCGGAATGGAAAAAATTTCGGATTTTTTGGAAAAATTGATAGTGGTCGATGGTAAAAAATGAGTTTACCTGGAAACAAGTTGTGTATGCACACAACCTGCCACCTCAAATAATAGATTTTTCTACGGCCAATTCACTGCTTTATTCGGATAGGGACGTTGAAAAGTCCAAGAGTCCGAAACAAGGTCCGCGAAAATAAAAAAGTGTAGAAAAACCTTCGAAGATAACGAAAAATTTCTAAGACGAAAATTTGTAATACTTTACCCTAGTGTTTGCTGTTGCGCGTGTCTTTGCGAAACGCCCCCCGACGTCTCGCAATCACACGCAAAAAGTCGAAAATCAATATAGTACAGAAACTGTATCAATAATAGCGTTAGTTAAAAATCTTTCCATCCGGAATCGGCAAGAGCAGTTGAGGGGTGACATGGGGTTGTAGGGGTCATGGCCGTTTTTGGCCCTCCAAGTATGGCTGAGATCAGAGGGTCACGGTGCCCACCCCCCACCCGAGGACCCCGAGGTGCCGAGAAAAAAAAAACTTTGAACAAAGGGTACGGCACCCGTATTCCAGTGCTGTAATTGGTGTTTGCCGTACTAAAGGCACCTGTGGCCGCTTTACATCACATATAGGAAAGGATATATGCTGGTGTGTTTGGCCAAGTATGCTCGCACCCGGTGCTCTGTGTGTTTGTGTGGCTCGCGTTCCGTCTGGTGCTCGCGGTGCCGGTGGTGAGTGAAAGGACCTCAAAAACACAGAAAAACACCATCCTATCACTCTCTTTCTGTGTAGAAAATAAAAATATCTTGTATGCTGTGGCAAAAGTCACCAACACCCGAACGCATGATGCCAGGAATGGCGATGACAAAGAAAAAAAAGCACCCCCACGGCAACGGCGGGAAGGATACGGTGAGAAGCAAAAAACAAGAAGAAAAAAATGTGAATGCCTGGATAAAAATCAAGCAAAGTCATGTGAATGACGCCGGTGTGTTTTGGTGATAACAAGAAAAGAAACATGACAAGGGTCCCCCATAAGAACATTTGGTCCCATAAGGATCGGTGGTATTTTTTTGGG